AAACGTAGGCAGTGCGTGCCTGTGTGTGAGGGAGGACTGAGGGCAGGGCTCTAAGAAACGAAAGGGCTCTGTAGTGGTTTGGTTGAGTCATTCAAAAATACAGCTGCTGACTCAGTTTGCAAATTTGTCTCCAGGAGCACGTCGCCGGTCTATCTGGCATTGTGTGTGAGTGTGTGAGCGTGTCTAACCTGTTGTTGTGAGGACCAAACATCCTCATAAAGGCAGGATAAGGGAACTCGGCCAGGTTGATCTTTATTACTCTTAAAAAGATACAGACAGAGGTTAACTTTATTCATTTAGGTTTCAATCTATCAGAAGCAATATGCTTGTGGTTTGTTCAGAAACCGCTCAAAGAATTACCCTGCCGATTACATCAAATGGAAAATGAAGCTTTGCCCGAAGGAGTGCCTATTCACACCACTGCTGTAATCCCATCCTGGCACGAGGTCAAAGTTTTTCTGTGATTCAATCCTTTCGTCATTTCTTCAGTTTTCTCTACACACCCTTCTTTCCACAGTAACTGTGTCAGTCCAACCATCAACACAATGGGATCCATCTGGGAGTATGGACTCTAGGACACACTCAAGAATTAGTCATCCTGAGAGTGTTGCAAGGTCCAAGAATGGCGTGCTGTTGTTGACATTATTGTGTTCAGAAGGGTAATTAAGAGGGACACCTCCCTCCATGATGGAATGTAACTTCCTGATAAAATTGTAGAGCCGTGTAACCTTTAGTGTGATGCAGTGTGAGTCAGAGGCTACTGTATTAGGAAGACTGTGTACTGTAATTACCTGTTTAGCTTTATTTCCTTGTTTAAAATTTGTTACAATAAAACTGATGATGGCAAAAACAATGAGCAGCAGCTGTTTCTGGAAAAGATAACTGGAGGCATCAAATGCTTCAGCAAGTTTAAACCTGCAAGCCAGTCCCAAAATGGGCGCCAACATCTGAATCCCATATGGGGATTATGGAAATCCCACATGGGATTCAGCTGTTGAGGAAAATTTTCCAGTATTATTTGCTATAACAAATTCTGAGCATCAATAATCATAATTGCTATTAGTAAACCTAAAATATTTCAACTGGCTATCTGAAGTATTGAGCCTAAACATTATCACCAGCTAACATTACTTTATTTGCTTTGTCAGTAAAGAGGTTGTTGCTGATGTATCTGCATGGCAAGTATTCATTTATGTTAAACTGGTCTGTGACACACATTTATTATAGCATAAAAAAAGGTTTTTAAATTCCTTTCTATACATTAATTAATTTCATTGTATTTAATGTCAGATTATGTAAACGCTAACTAACTGCTAACTGCTAGCTGCTAACGTAGCACAACATTCCACAGCAGCACGTTGCTAGCTCGGAATTCAAATAACAACCAACGGTTCTTCCGTTAGCTCATCCACGTTACAGTTTAACTAACGTTAGCTAGTTAGCGTTATGCTACTTCAAAGTAACCAGTTAGTTATTAACTACTAATAGCCAAGTAGGTTAAATAATGCTAACGCTAATTCAGTTAACTGAATTTACCAGCTGAGTTGAGCTAATGCTAACTAACGTTAACCAACTCAAGATTAGCTAACGCCAGTTTGGTAATGTTTGCAAACCTGAACAAAGAAGCACCGCAGGACAAACAAAGAGCAAAACCCAAGGCCTCAACTACAGAGACATGTTCTTTATCTTGTTAGGAGTCCATGGTAACTATTTAAATATGAAAATAACACATTGAATTGTAGAAACGTTTATGTATTCATGAGCATGTGACATTAAAATGAAGACAAAATAAGTGTATTTAACGTTATATTGCAGTTAGCAAGTTAATCAGAACTACAACTATTTGTACATAATACTAGTTGTCAGAGGAGCATAAGAGGGAGATCGAATGAAGTTCAAAAGTATCAAATAAAAATAACACAAATACACAAAAATCTAAATAATACTTTTTTGTTTTTAAGGCATCTATGGTTTAATGTTTGCCTGAAGTGTAACTCGTTAAATCATCTGTTAGAATTACATGTTTTGTCCAAACTTTATGTGTATTTTTGTGTTTCTGTGTGATCAGACGAGAGATCCAGAGGATGTGAAGACGAGAAGAGCTTTTACACAACCCCTGTTTTAAGTGTTGGACTGATGCTTGTGTGGTTCAAGACCTTGCTGCCATGTTAGAGACCAAATCCAAAAGAAAAGGAGCTGGAAGCAGAAAAAGGCAAAGTGGCCTCTTTAAAAAATCAGGTGAAGTTTGTTTCCCCAATAAAATTTAGAGGTATGTTTTAATTAGTGTATAAATCACCTGAAAATAAGGATCATTGTGTTTCCGTTACCTTCTTGAGACATCTTTATCTACAGAGGGAGCAGGTCCTCTTCTACGGAGTCCGCCATGTTGAACCGCCATGTTTCTACAGTAGCCCAGAACAGACAAACCAAACACTGGCTCTAGATAGGGGTTTTGGGGGATTTTTGTGGCCACCATAGCGTGGGGAGTGAGGCAAGAGTATTGCAATCGTCAACTACACTGCTAGATGCAACTAAGTAGTAGCGATGGGCGCGCGATTTAACTTCCTGTATGATTTACATTTGTTTTGCCATCCTGGTCTATAGCTTAAACAACTACAGCAACAAAATATATCATATTGTTCTTGTATCTTTTATTTTATTTTTACTCTTATTTATTGCTAACAACATAGATTTATGAAGAGAAAATACATCCGCTTTGTATATCTGTCCAATTTGTTGTATATTTATGGCTGCACCTAGTGTGAAGGTCCATGAAAACCAAAGGATGCTGAGGGACATAAAGGATTATTGCACACAACAACCAGGACATCAACCACAGAAAAGGTGACTTTGAACACAAAATTATTATTAATTATTTTTGCAATCCTGTGACCAAACTATCACATGCATTTGAATGGATCAAAATACTATTATTTCATAGTTTTTAGCTTCAGCAATCATCCTTGCTGATCCCACAGCGTCTGACACTATCTACTAATTGGCTGCTATGCCTGTGGTCTGTTATCCACTGTCACTTCAGGCAAGTGGAGCGTTAACTTCTAATCAAATAAACTAGTGACACCTTGTGTTCAAAAGATGTTACTTCTTAAAGGACAATCACCTGGCAAAGAAGACAATAAAGAGAAGGTTTTTCTATGGTCACTGATGAGAAGCTACACAGTAATATTCTAAATATTATTAATTTTGTTATTAATTATTTAGATTTTATATTACAAAATGATTATAGACCAACTATATATGTGTGTGATTTCAGCCCTTCTGATTTTTTTAGCACGTTTATTAATCTTATCTGATAATGAACCATTTTAAATGATAAAGGTCTTTAGTAAGTGTGTATGTAATAAACTGGATAAGGAGACATTCATCAGTAGATCCCTCCCTTTGGGGAGTTCTGTAAAAAGATTTTTCCATTGGATATGATTGGTTATGTAAGGACCTATGTATGAGTTTCACTTCAGTTTTACATTTGTCTCATTTGTGAAGTACGATCAATTGGAGTCTAAGGACCTGGAAGATTTTAAAGATGCTATTAAAACAAATCCTCAGGGAGACACAGGAAAGTGACCTGGACAAAGTGATCAGGAACTTACAAAGTGCGTCCCCATTAAACATTACTGAGGCAATGGAAGTCGTGCATTTAGTCAGCAATCAAAATATGTTGTGATGTACTACAGAACCACACCTTACTGAACTATGTCAACTATCAGCACAATAAAACAGAGGCCCTTCGAAGACAGATCTCTCGGGTTGGTGTTTTCTGTGTGTATGTGTGTGTTGGTAGAGAGATAAAGAAGGAAATAAAATGTTTGATGCTCGTCTACCATTATGTCGTGGGCTGTAGGAAAGAGAGATCTCTCTGTAGCTGAGGAACGGCAGAGCAGGAGCAGCAGCAGAGTGTTGAGTTCATGGAAAGGCTCCTAGATCACCTCAAAGAAGGTACAGCATAAGGAATATCTGCATAACATTGCCCTTTTGAATGGTGGCAACACAAACATGGCAAACTGTATGATGGAGTTAAGCAATTTTATGTCTTTTCTTACTAGAAATCATAGGATAAATGTGAATGTCTCTTCCCAACACAGCACTTAATTAAAATGTGTATTGTTTTAGTCCACCATAGAACAGCAGTAGGGAGACTGCACAATTTAAAAACATAGTCAGTGCTGGAATAATTGTTGTTAATTAGCAGGCAAGTAAGTAAAATCAATCAAAGTGCATCATCGTTAAAAAAAAAAAAAAACAAGTACTGTGAATTACGCTGTAGACAATGAGACGTTCATCGAACAGTGGGAGATAAAATAGATAAATGATAACATAAGTCTTGTGAAAAAAGTCTTGTGAAATATTGTGATTTTTTAATATCTAGTTACTACTTTTTCTAGGTTTGAAATCATTTCTTCAGATCAGCTGTGATGGCTTGGTGATCTGCGACCAGTTGGGCTCTTCTGAAAGTGCTGTACCTGAGAATGTTTGACAGAGTTATTATTGTATGATTATTGTATATATATGATTATTGATAATGAAATGTGACACCTCTATGTCTACATAGCCTGCTTTATATTCCCATGTTAAAGCAGTCATCCAATCGCTAATTTCAGTGAGTTAATTATACGCCCTGGCAGACATAAGGGAGGTTTTCTATTATTAGGAAGGAGAAGACTGACCTGACATTTACTTAAATGTAACTTGGATTTAAAATAAGTGTGAGTGCTAATTTACCACATATTTATGTACATTTTCAGTGGTACTTACGAATTCAATAAATCTCTTTAAGTTTATTCATTTATAATTAGCTCAGTAGTAGTAGTTTTTTTTTTTACATTTAAGCCCTGAGCATTTCAAGAAGCCATTCAGAGTGACAGATCAACTGGCATCAAACTGGTCTGCATTCATTAATATCTTGAGATATACTGTATGTGCACACTGTGTGGGATGACATTAGGAGGCACATTGAGAGCAAACAATGATTCAAAGACAAATTTACATTACAGATTCACAATTTTTTAGTAGCAAGAGAATACTTTACATGAACATTACTTACTCAATTATCACTATATAACATTATGCTGAACAACAAATAATTAAGTTCTTTGCACTTTCATAATTTAAACACTAAACAGGTTCACTTACTCTCTCACACACAAGCACACATGGTATTAAAATCCCTGAGCAACATGAACTAAATAATCAGTATTATTACGCTTCAAGATTTGGCCTCCATTCATTAGTTTAGTTGTGTCTTTAATCATCCAGGTATCATTATTATAGTGTTTGATGATTTTAAGGCGAGATCATTTTCATATCAAACTGTCTTTCACTTGTCTAACTGTGGTTCGTGTCACCACAGTACACCACCCTGTTCTCCAGTCGCGATCGCTCAGCTTCAAACACCAGCAAATGGCTCAGGAGTGTCTCCTCCGGCCCCGAGCGGATCAGGGATGGATCGTTGTTCTGCGTTCACAAACACAGAAAGGCTAATCAACTGTTACAGTCAGTGCTTCTACGTTCTTAAATTAATTTAGGGTCACTACCCCCCCCTACAGGTACAAGTGCGTAAATACAGTGAATATTCTTAATCTGTCCTCATTCCTCAAAATACAAGCACAGGCCAACAGGTCATTACAGGGTAAAGATTCACATCAAATCTACGGATTCTGGAGTGGGCCAAGAAGGACGATTACATTTCTACTGGAAACTATACATAGTATACTCACCGCAACAGCAGAAATAAAGGCATCCATGAGGTGGTAGTCTGCTCCACCATGTCCACTCATGCCAAAGTGCCTGGGGGCATTATTGTGTGCCGTGTGCTTTGTGGCTCTCTGAGTCAGAAAGTCAAACACACGTACCTCATGGCCGTCATATGTCAGCTCCCCCTGTGAAGACACAGTTCATCATATAGCTTCCACTTAGCTGATGCATCCGTCGTAGAAACATACATGTATCCCAATGTGATTTTGTTTGGTCACACCACGATACAGTGGCTTAAGGTTGTAGGGTTTTTTTTCCTGTTCTTTAACATAATCATTGTGTTTTCGTTACTTTAGAATGAGCCATTTATATCTACAGAGGGAACAAGTCCTTATTTATGGAGTCCGCCATGGTCAACTGCGATGTTTCTACAGGCGAACAAAACCAAACACTACATATGGCCTTTTTCATGGTCAACATAGTTTCCAGCTAGATACCACTAAATCCTACACACTGGGTTTAAATTAATAATGAATTTCTCTGACTGTTATCATCGACATACTATTCTCTTCTTTCTCAAAACTTTAAAAATGTCAATTGTCATTTTGAAAATTGAGCCACATTGGATTGATAACACACCAATATCAATATATGGTCAAACTTTAAAAGAGAACTTTTATCTTAGGAATTCACCATTCTTTCCTACCTTGCTGCCATAGATGGATGTTTTTCGCTTGCATATCTCCTCAGTGAACGCCACCATGGAAAAGGCTGCCGTCACACCCCCTTCAAACTCCATGTTGACAACCTGAGCATACAGAACAGATAAATGAGACATAAGGAAATAAATGTTATGCTTTTAGACATAAATAATGACCTTTTTTAAAGGAAAGTAAATTATGAATTTTCAGTTTAAATAATTATTTGAAAATTGTGAACATCTTCTCAAATATATTGGACAGAGTCCAAAAAAAAGAAAAAGATATTACTTAAATGACAACACAAATTCTGGAAACAGGAAAGGTTGTAAATAATAAAAGAGGCAGTGTGAGCAATGATGTGGAGCAGACAGATACAACAAGGCAATACAGCCCGTGGCTTAAAGCAAAATAAATACAGTAATGCCCCACAGTAATAAGCTGCTTCAAGATATCATCTGTATCATCATCTCAGATGTTGATGATGATCCCTTTTGGGAAGAGTGAATCAGTTTTAGATATCTGATGATTTACTTGTCTGGATGTATTAGCAGCAGTGTGGAAATATTAGCTGAAATGATCTGATACTGTAGTTTGAGCTGACAGTTTATACCCCCATGGATACTGGTGCATCCCTTCATTTAAGCACAAACCAAACTTAACCTAACCTGGTTACTGCACACGTCGTTGTCACACTCGTAGACACAGCGGCCATACGGTCCTGTCCTCAGCGCCTCAGTCACTGACTCAATGTCTGGGAAAGAGCTCGGACATATGACTGATACAGGCCAGCCAGTGTTACCCTAGCACACATACAAACACAGTACATTTAAAATGATGTATAGCAAGTGAAGTATTATTCACTTAATAATGTACTATAAGTATTACACACAGATAGTAGATAATTGGTTAAAATCCTGTGTTAAAATGTTTACCTGTTTCACTCTATCCAGGTAGATTTTGCACGCTGAGTACGCACAGTCTCTTTCTATTGAACAGTCCAGGCAGCGATCTGCAGCACCTGTTGGCTGACAAAAAACATTTTATACTTATGCTTCATATTTATGTTAGACATAGCACAGAGTACTATCATGGATAGGATATAGCTTAATGACACAAAAAGACAACTCATCAACTGTGAAAATGATTCAAGTGGTGTAATGTTATGTGCTGTTTCACATAGTATTTATAGATCGACAACTACTACTACAGAACAAAATACAGTCAAAAAACATTTTGTCCATATCCACAGTGGCTGCTGGTTCCCTTTGTATTAGTGATAGTGTCTTTCTATTGCACATACCTTGTTTTCTTTTCGGAAGTGGCTAACGGATCCAAACGATGACACTTTGACACACCTGCCCAGTACAAACAGTGATGTTAATGATTCATTTTAGGAAAAACAGAATCAACTCATAGAAAACAACCACATCCACCTGTAAACAGAGACTGAGGTCTGACAAAACCACCTAATTCCTACAAGCATCATCTGAATAAAGGGAATTGAGCAAATTGATTCACCTACAGGACATTAACCCTGTTGACCAAACAACTTGTTTATTTCAATGTTTGCTGCATTTTATTCCCGGACATCAGATGAGCTTGGGGTTGATCATTGACTGCTGTCTGTTTGTTTACCTGCGTGCTCCAGCCCAGTGATGCATTAGGTCAATGTCATGGCAAGACTTAGCCAAAAGAGCAAAAGAGCTCTCTGCTTCATTCCTCCAGTTCCCCCGAACAAATGAGTGAGCAAAGTGATAAAACCCAACCTGGAACGAGAGGTAGACAAGACTAATCTGTAACAGTTAACAGGTATATTATTTAATGAATGGCTTTAATAGGGAGCCCTGAGGATTTGTAGGGTTATTTTCTTTATTTCTATTCTATTTGCATTCTTACCGGCTCCAAGTGTTGAATGTGGATCACATCACCTATGACTCCAGCATCTATCAGCTCCTAGAAAAAAAATATGTTTATTTTATTTTTTTAAGCAAATAACAACCAAAATATATTTAAAAAAAAACTCAATTACAGGTCAAGGTACCCAAATTACCCCAAAATTTAAACCCAAAACTGACAAATGTTTTTATAAACAGAAAATGTTTACCTTTATTTTGTGGATGACGGGGTCATAGCGGAGAACATGACCTACTGACAGCATCACACCACTCTGAGTGCAAGCCTCCACAATCGCTTTGCAGTCTTCGGCAGTTGTCTACAGTCGTGAACAAAGTGTGCGAGGAAGTACGTCACACAAATGCAATCACAGAAAGTAAAAGCACAAGAAGAAGAAAACTGAAAACAGAAGAATGAACCAGTATCTTTTTTCTCCAAATGTACAATGTGCTTGAATAAAAACAATGTTTGGAAAAATATAATGTGACGTGTTTATTTCAAAGGGTAATTTTTAGAATTGCCAAACTAACATGCAAAAAGTTACTGTAAAATTCAATCTGTAGGATCATTAACAGCCATATCAAGGTTAAAGTTATGCTCTATGTTAAGATGGTTAATGTTTATTCCACTCACTGCCATTGGTTTCTCCAGCAGAACATGGTAGCCCTTCTTCGCAAAGGCCACCGCAGGTTCCTGGGGGACACAATCTAGTTTAACAGACTGATAATGTAATTTTAAGACTTCAAATTTAGAGTTACACATACAGTATAAACAGAATATACATAAACATATTGTATATTTACCTTATGAAGTCGGTCTGGAGTACAAATTAACACAGCATCTGCAAACTTCTCTCTTTCAACTATACTGTGCCAGTCTAGTTGAAAAAAAAAATTCAGTAAATGAAAATGAGGTAGATAATTATAAACAATTAAACACACACACATATGTTGAAGCTCACCTTCAAATATGTTTTCATCTACAATTTTGTGTTGCTGTTGAATTTTAGTGCGAGCGAATTTCCTTGGATCAGCTACGCCGACAACCTGAATTGGTGAAGTTGAGTAAATTAAGTGGACATAAGAAGCACTCAAATACTCCATTACAAGTAGTTATCTTAAAGGCTGATGTATCAGGGCAGTTATGAAACTATTTAAATCACTGCACTTTCTAATGTTATATAAAACACAAATTTTAGGATCAAATGAAATCAAGTGAAATAAACTGTATGCAAACTGACTTTACACGTTTCTTTCATGGGCATCTTGTCAATTATCTCATTTTGTCTGGATATCATTTGGCTCAGAGACAGTCAATTAAGAACACAGTACACAAACATCCCTGTCCAGTGATGGACACAATCAGGCTGCAGGGCGAACTCTCCTGACCTGCACACGATCAGGATGGACGGATGCAAACTGGGAGTAGATCTCCCCTCGACTGCCAGCTCCCACCACGATGACACGGACAGGGGAAGTCATTCTGGCACCCTGTGAACTTCGACACAAATCAAAGCTTTGTAGACGCACCTTACACAATGCCTGAAGTAATAAACACTCATCAGTCAGGTGTGATCACCTGCACCGTCACCATATCTCATATAGTATAGGTTGTTACTCAATACATCTACAGTGCCCTAGAGCCATTGTTTGAAGGGGGACTAAATTAACTATTTAAACACCTTTTTATCATTCCCAATATAACAGAATGAATACCCGAACCGATACAGTAGCTAAATGAGAGTAGGTAATTATATTAAACAGTGTTTCTGGTAAATATTTCTCACTTTGTGACATTGCTGTTTGTTTCAGTACCTGTTTTGTCCCATACAGCTGTCAAAACCTTCTGTCTCTCTTCCGCGTCGGTCCAAAGTTGTTCAGACACGACTACAAAAACCATTCAGTCAGCGAATGACTACAACCACAGAGTTTCCCTTCTTCTAACAAAAGAGTGAACCTCAAAGCAGTCAGACAGGTGTCTACCGCCCCCTACAGTGCGACCACGGTACTGCTGCTGCATTCACTGCTGCTGCATTCACTGCTCCTCGTAAACTGCCCTGTCATTGTTTATCGCAGGGTTAAAGAGAAAATACGCACCGTAATACTGAACTCACTTCTGGGTATTTGCAGGCATGTGGAAGCACCAGGCAGCTGGGTTTGCTGTTTTAAAGACTCCACCATACCTTTCATACGCTTATAATCAATTATTCAGACTGAAAACCTATTTGGGTCGATGTCATATGATGGTTGAGGCCATATTTGGTCACAGTAGTCATAAGACGGTCATCAGAGTGATATAAATTAAAGCCTGGTGGTGCCACGTCCTCCCTCCCATTCAAAAATATGTCTACTCAAAGAGGGTGTTTTGTTATTTAGTTAACAAGCAGGCCAGTCCGATGTATCACCATTTAATGCCACATTCCTGAAACCGTCGCGCTACATATTTCCGACAGCGTGCGAAGGCAACATGTTAGCTATCTCAAGATTAGCAGTTAGCAGTAATTGTGTAAAAGGGTTTCAGTTGTGCTATTAAATCTCTATTAGTCGTTTATACGTCCGCTATACAAAGTCTACCTAGTCCGCTGCTGTCACAAATAAATTAAATAGTCTACAACCCAACAAAGAAAATGACAAACGAAGTTTAGAACAAATCATTTTAAGAGGGTCTTCGGAAATGTTCGGCTACTTCCGTCGGATCCGATCCTCCGTACGTACAGCCAGGGTCACATGACGCGATTAGCTCTGCAGCGTGAGTTCAGCTTTCTAGCGACATATATTTCTGATGCTAACCAGCGCCTGATCTGTGATTTTAATATCCTCTGAGTTACAAAAGTAGTATTACTTCACTAAACAGTATTTTGTAGAAGTGTGTTCTCGGAGCTGTACAACGCGGACTCGCGCTTTGGGGCATATTTAGACATTTCTCTGAGCTAGCTAGCCAAGGTTAGCGTGTTAGCTAACATTAACATGAATATTGACAACGTTAATCAGTCAGTCACAACTGGAGTGTCATCTACGACGTCTTCAACTTCAAGCAACTGTATTGCAAATGATAATGCAACAACCAGCGTCAGCAGCATCCCTTCGGTCACTAGTAATGGTAAGGTTATATGACTTTGGCTAATGTTATTGTGCTCAACACTTAGTTCAAGGTAGGATCGCTAGCTTTAACTACTGATGGTGGATGATTTGTTTGTCTGTCACAATAAATATGCAAGTACGTTAAGCTTTGTTCGTGCATCATCATGTGAGAACCTGTAATTTTAACAGGGTTTGGACTTTGCACAGTCTTAGTTCAGGACATGGTGCAAACACCTCTTTCCCTATGAGTAAGAACTGTGTCATCTCATTACTTGTGAAACGCAGCAGATGAGTATATAATTATAGTAATCCCATGCACTTGTATTACAGCTTCATCCTCAGCGGCCATGGTGACACCATCAGCAGACACATCTGTCTCCAACGGTGTCTATGTTCCTGGTGGCATCACCAATGGAGATGTAAAGCCTGCCATCTCCACCACACCCTTGGCAGATTTTCTCATGCAGCTGGAAGAATACACTCCCACAGTGAGTTCTGCCAGTCACACTATATGCTGCATTCACAAATGGGGACACTCTATCAGGAAGTCCAGAGATTGTAAACATGTTGAAGTTATTAACAGCTTCATTCTGGTAACAGCTGGGCAAGTTTGTCTAGTCTGCCAGCCGGTTTAACTGATCACCATCACAAAATTAAATTGAAATTCAGTCAAGAAACTTTTTGTACATATCCAAATGGATACAGTATGTCTGTTTATGCAGTGAATTAAATAACTGAAAAACCAGGGTACTTAGGGTAATCACACACAGTATTCAGTTGACATTCATGATAACTTCATATCTCCTTACCCTGGATGAAAATCTAATGATGTTATGTACCAACCACTGTCCTCCTTAGACAATGGTAATCATTTCCTTCAGTGGTCAGAGGCTGTGTTCTTGTCACAGTTTATTTAGCTGATCAAGACCAGACGTAAAGTAACAATGTTCTTTACAAACAGTGTCTGTAGCAGTGAAATTGAGCTCTGTGGATCTTGACCTCAAGCTAAAGTCTGCTCTTTTACTTTATTTTTTTCCTTCAGATTCCTGATGCAGTTACAGGATACTACCTCAACCGGGCTGGCTTTGAGGCCTCTGATCCAAGAATGTAAGTGTTACATCGACTGACTCTATGAAGTATACTCGAATCCCCAGAAGTAAACAAGTTGCCATTACTGGGGTGGGTTCTCCGGCCTACAGTACGTGCGAGCTGTCCTAAGAAGTGTTAAATCTTCTACTTTTCTCTTTTCTTTCTATGTTAGTTATGTTTACAATGATGTCTAGGAAATCAGGAAGAGGTTATCAGCTGCTCCAACAGTAGTGGCAAATTTCACCTTTGGAAAAAAAACTGAATGTCCATAGCCTTTACTTCATGAAGAGTGCCCGTCTGAGACCATAGGTCATGGTGTAGGCAGAGGACCAAGATGTTCGCATGCTAGGCGATAAAATAAATAATGTTGAATACCTATGGAAAAACCCACATTTCTAACTAATTTAACTGGTCTCTGATAATTAAATGACACAAATCACAGTGCTGTTATTATTAGTCACATTCAGAAGTTAGTCATATTCACTAACAGGGCACAAAGGCAGCTGCAGGTGGAGTGTTGTTGAATGGGTGAATGAGAGTCTCATTGTAACCCTTTGGTTAAAAGCATCATGTAAAAGCAGTCCATTTGCCAGTCTTTTTTAAAATGAATGAAGATCTGAGATGATGTGACCCTTTGCTGTGTGTTTTCTTTTTCATTTCTTTAGAATCCGTCTGATCTCCCTTGCTTCTCAGAAGTTTATCTCCGACATTGCCAATGACGCACTGCAGTACTGTAAAATGAAAGGAACCGCCTCAGGAAGCTCAAGGAGTAAGACAAAGGTCAGTGTTTATGTCAACACTTGCTTTAAATGTACACCATATGCACACCATACAATATGTTGACGGTGCTGTTAGAACATGGTGACAGAGGTAGGTTTCATCTGCCTTTAGTGCTTTTGATCTGTTTGTTTCTGATAATTAATTATTTTTCCTTCTCTCTATATAGGATAAGAAGTACACTCTGACTATGGAGGACCTGAGTCCTGCTCTCACAGAATATGGCGTCAATGTCAAGAAACCATATTACTTTACATAGAACTGTCTTTCTTTAAGGCTTTTGTCTTTTGCTAGTTTTAGCTCCCTGCTGACCCACTAGAGTCTGTCGACACCTTTTATTGCTTTTGTTTTTTGTTTTTGTTTTGAATCATGGTGCTTTAGTTCAGGTCTGACACATCTTTGTAGTCTCCATTGTAGTTGCCATTTGTTATTTTTTGGGGAGCCACCTTGCATTATGTTAAATTGTAAATTGTGAAAATAAAATCCTTACCAAAAACATTTGTGTCTGTTAGATGTTATATTTGTGCATTAGCTAGTGAGGCTGTTTGGATGTAAAGAGTGATACAATGTCCAACACTAGTAGAAGTGCTATATCATATAATTCTGTTCATACCATGGTCTGTGTGAATGAACTGAAAGTAGATGTGATCTGCTCAAACATTGGTTACTTATTGGAAAGGATAATTGAAAAGGTTTTATGATTGTATTTTGGAAAGTGCTATATAAAGAGTATAATGTAAAGCCAGGTTACTATTATGAACTGGCTGAATGACTCCAGTTAACAGTTCAGGCTTTTGTCTGGGGCTTATGGACAGCTATAGGTATTGTACTGCAATAAAAAATGACGGGCTTTACAAGTGCAGTGCAACAGCTTAAATACTCACAAAGCTACATGAGGTGGTGTGCACATTTAAACAGGATGCAGAAATCTGTTTCAACAGTTTATTTCTGTCAGTGGGTAGGTTATAGTTTGAACAGGTGTTGATGGATGTGGATGATTTTCTTTATCATTAATGTATCCACAGTGCAGCCTTATTTTCTCTCTTTTCCTCTTAACATAGAATCGTGTGACACTTTCCCTACAGGCCATAGGCCTCTAGGCAGTTGGGGGTCCATTATTAGTACGGTTGTTCCTTCCTTCAAATTCTGACTGTCTTTTTGCCAATAATTCCCTATCTGTAGGTTGGGGAGGTAGTTTGTGATGAAGCAGGACCAAAACCGATCGGCTAGTGTTTGACTGTGCCTCCATCATCTCTGTCCCAGCAAGTTAGTATCTGCATAGAGAGCCTGTGGAAGGGAAGCATCGCACCACCCCACGAGGAGGAGATTTATCTTCTATCTCCACTAGTACTGCGTGTAAGACTTCCTTAAAAACAATTTGACTTCCCACTGTCACTCTGAGAGCAGCTTTAATGGATCCGATTTCCCTTTCCCACATTCCTCCAAAGTGATGGGCATTTGGAGGGTTAAAGTGGAATTGTATTTGGGATTCACTTAGCTGTTCCTTGAGGTGTGGATTCATGGCTGCAAATACGCCTCTCAGCTCTGTCTCCTCCTTTCGAGTTGGTGCCACAGTCGGAAAGCAGCTCATAGGGGCGTCTTCCATGTGCAATAAAACATCTCCATTCATTGGCTAAGGTTGGTTCAAGTATCTCCACAATTCTGTTGGCTACAAAGACCTTATACCTGCAGGACTCAGAGTGAAGCCTTGTTAGTACCACAGTAGAATCAGACCACAGAAAGGTTCTGTCAATGGGGACTGTCATTTCAGATTTGATCAGATTTGATCAGTTTACTCAGCTGGGTTCCAGTCAGTGCTGCTGATAACTCCAAGCGGGGTATAGTCAGTTGCTTTAAAAGCAGCTACACATGATCTTGCCATTACAAATGAGATATTAGTCTCCCGCATCTGTTTTTTTGTTTTCATGTATGCCACTGAACCATACGCTCTCTGAAACATCACATAAAATGTGTAATTCTCTGTCTGTTTCTTTGCAAGATACATGAGGGTTGTTGCCTTTATTCCACCTGGTGAAGCTTCATCCAGAGCTGCTGCAGCAGGACTTTGGCTCTAGTAGTGAATGGGATGATGACATCCTAAGGCGTCCTATTGTGAAGCCAGCACTTTGTACACATTTCTCATGGTTAGAGTTAGGCAGGAAACAGGTCTGTGTTTAAAACCCAAGGTATCAGAGACACAATGCTAGCTTAGCTCTAGTGCACCCTCTACAGGATCTGTCCAGTTTTGACTCAGCCAGAGCTCAGCACTATCTGATCTGGCAGCTGATGGTAGGTGATCAACAACAGATGGAAAGTCACTTGCCCATTGCCTAATTTCAAATCCACCAGAGGATAAGGGGGAGAAGGGGCATAACTGATTCGAAGGGGGCCTTCAGTTCAGATGCACTTTTCTTTCTGAACAAAGGAGTTACATAGCACTCAGTTCCATCTGTGTTTACTCGTATGGTCTTTGCAGGACCATATTGGACTCTCTCTATGGGTGTGATGAGGATTGTCTGATCCAATGAGGATGTGTGGCTGAACCTTAGAAAAGAATCTCAGTGATAGACCATGTAAATGTGGATAGCGTTGCTTGAGTTTATTGAGTGGATAACTCTGCTTAACAAACATGATCATATCAGAAATGAAAGCACTGTTAATTGAGGGAACGAGGCAGCAGATATTTTCAGGTTTACAGCTCTTCCTTGTAGTGTCTCTGTATGCTGTCTCATTTGTTTCTCTGGTTCTCCCAAGATACTATGCTATATTGTACGCTCAGATGACATAGGTATCAAATGTCTTATTCTTGTGGCAAAGTCTTACTTTAACAAATCTAAGTAGTACTTTCGGTGACATACTTTGTGGGTTTATGTACAACACTCTAGATGCTGTTTGAGTTTTATTTACTTCATGTAATATGCCTAGGTGGCGGGTATTACATTTGGGGCAAGGTTTTCTCAAAGTACAATCTGTTGCCTTGTGTGTATAACAAAGTTCCACTGTATCCAAAGCCAGAATTCGAGGGAAGAAGGACAAGAACAACTAGTACTAGTTATTCAGTAGCTGTAACTGGTTAGTCCAGATGAGGATGTTGGTAATCATTCCATTTAGTTTGTCCTGAGGTAAAATTGTTAGTCGTGTCTCTTTAGGTGTGTATACATTGTTGTATTAAACAGGTATCTCCTTATTTATGTGCATCCAGCTGTTAAAGTTCTGAGCTGAGGGTAACCGACCACGAGGTCTGTAGCCTGCTGGAGCTGTATTAAACCCTTGGGATGGCATTGTTATACACCGCATTCCAAATTATGCAAATTATATTTCTCAGATTTTCCTAAATAGTCGATGCAAATGACAGTCAGTATAATTTTCAACTCAACTGTTAGAGTATAATTCAAATTTTATTGAACAAATCCAATGATAAGATTTTTTTTTTATAAATAAACTCAAAATGCACTGTTCCAAATTATTATGCACAACAGAGATCAAAACATTTTAAAGGTTGTAAAGAGAACAAAATGGTAATTTGTTGAATTTGCAGCATCAGGAGATCATATTTACAGAAATCAAAAGCTATTTCAATCAAAAAAATCTTAACAGGCCAAGTTACATGTTAACATAGGACCCCTTCTTTGATATCACCTTCACAATTCTTGCATCCTTTGAACTTGTGAGTTGTTGGAGTTTCTGCTTGAATATCTTTGCAGGATGTCAGAACAGCCTCCCAGAGCTGCTGTTTTGATGTGAACTGCCTCCCATCCTCATAGATCTTTTGCTTGAGGATGCTCCAAAGGTTCTCAATAGGGTTGAGGTCAGGGGAAGATGGGGGCCACACAATGAGTTTCTCTCCTTTTATGCCTATAGCAGCCAATGACAGAGGTATTCTTTGCAGCATGAGATGGTGCATTGTCATGCATGAAGATCATTTTGCTATGGAAGGCACGGTTCTTCTTTTGTATCATGGAAGAAAGTGGTCAGTCAGAAACTATACATACTTTGCAGAGGTAATTTTCACACCGTCAGGGACCCTCAAGGGACCTACCAGCTCTCTCCCCATTACCCGCCACCTCCTTGCTGACGTCGCAGCCTTGTTGGGACATGGTGGCCATTCACCAACCATCCACTACTCCATCCATCTGGACCATCCAGGGTTGCACGGCACTCATCAGTAAACAACACGGTTTGAAAATTAGTCTTCATGTATTTCTGAGCCCACTGCAACCGTTTCTGCTTGTGAGCATTGTTTAGGGGTGGCCGAATAATAGGTTTATGCACATTTGCAAACCTCTGGAGGATCCTACACCTTGAGGTTCGCAGGACTCCAGAGGCACCAGCGGCTTCAAATACCTGTTTGCTGCTTTTCAATGGCATTTTCGCAGCTGCTCTCCTAATCCTATGAATTTGTCTGGCAGAAAACTTCCTAATTATGCCTTTATCTGCACGAACCCCTCTGTTCTCTGAATTAGCCACAAATCTCTTCACAGTACGATGATCACGCTTAAGTTTTCTTGAAATATCCAATGTTTTCATACCTTGTCCAAGGTATTGCACTATTTCACGCTTTTCAGCAGCAGAGATCCTGCTTAATAATGTGGAACATCCTTAAGTAGTTTTCCTTTGATTGGGCTCACCTGGCAAACTAATTATCACAGGTGTCTGAGATTGATTTCAATGATCCAAAGACGCAATACCATCTATGAGTTTAATTGAAAAACTAAAAATTAAATGTTTATGACACTTAAATCCAATGTACATAATAATTTGGAATGCGGTGTAGTTGGTGAAAAGATACATGGGAAGTAGAGACTGGTGGCATTTGAATAAGAATTTGAGGTGTTGGTAGAAACAAAGGACACTGAATTGCAGGCCTATGAATAGAAGTGATATTAGAGGATGTCACTGAACTCAAAGGTATATGGGAGCTAGGCCCTGAAACTGATATGGCCAAACTTTTTAGGTATTTTTAAGGCTAATGTTTGGTTTGATGGCACATGAACTGATGAGGTTGAAGGCAATGGTCTTGATGGTTCCTGGATTTTAAGTTCTGGACCATGGTTTGTAGGGCGGCTCTTTTAATTATCCTTGTGTAATCTTCTTATAGCACATTTATTTTATATTGAAAAGCAAAGGAAAGTGTCACAATGTCTGTTCAACCATCAAATCCCAACAACCCCATTGTGTTCTTGGACATAACCATCGGAGGGCAGGTGAGTAGCTCCAAAATATATATCAATTCGCGGATAGGTGTGGTAAAAATAAACTAAATGCGAGTGAACAGCGTGTTAGAACTAAAATGTGTTGTTTTCATGTGAAGAAATTTGAAAATAGAAAATAGAAAATGACTGTGCAGTGTTTTTAACTTTGAGATCAGTTAAATACCATCAGGGGGGCAATTCATTTTTACAAGGGGCCACAAGAGAAACCTGAACTGTGTTGGAGGGCTGAACCAACAATAACTTGAACTTAATTCTGCTCAATATTAATTTTCTCCCATTGCAAAA